TCCCGTTGAATAGCATTTTTTTTTACCTTTTCAGCCGTATATAATAATAGATACTTTTTATTTGCCCAAGTGAAGAAAAATTTAAAAAATGTATATTTTTTCAGTTGGCCATGAGATTTATTTAGTATTTGTCTCTTACTTCATTTTCTATAAAAAAAAATTTAAATTTGGCACCTAACAGACTAAAAAATTACAAGAAAAAATGAATTAGCTTATCCATTTATATTTAGGTACTTCATAGGTTTAATTATGGTATAAACAAAAACTAAACAAAAATAACAACTATAAAAAAAAGAGAAAGAATAATAGAATGGAAAGTAGCATAACACAGTCATAGCAAGTGCATTGTCGGCCAATTTCGTTGATGACAACGTTTGGCAATGGAGCGAGTCGCATTGTAAATATGGATATTTGGCACCCGTTGAATATCTGAGTACGCCAATGGCTTAAAAAAAAATGGATCAAATAATATTCAATCTTTTTTCTTCTGTATTTATTGACAACGGAGATAAAGGGGTTAATGTAAATAGGCGATTTTTCAAAAAAACCCTGTATATATAAAATAAAAGAAGTGGACGGGACATCGTTATCAGATTTTTTATATCTATCACCGTTTTGGCTGTGCCGTATAAAACTACCGAAAATCAGCCACCCTGTACATCTTTATATTAAATGTAAATAATGTAATGTAAAATAAAAAAATCAATGATTTTCCTAAATATAATNTTTTTATCACGTCCTTTTTAAAGTAGTGTCCCTGTGATATTATACACTCATACCAACCTAATTTCCAGTTTGAGAAACACTGGTGGAACACCTCTTTAGGTATAGTTTTGAGCAGGTTTGCGATTACCCATTGTTGAAAAATATTGTGTTTTGAATATCCCGCTGAGTTTGGAAAATAGGAAAAGTTACAGGGGCCATGTCCAGAGAATAGGGTGGTTGCGGCATCACAAGAGTATTTCACCAAGAACTGTTTGATAAGCAAAGCGGTATGCGCTGGTTGGCGTGGTGTAAACTCCACTAGTTGTCTCTCATGTTCTTGTTGTTTTCTCCTGATTGCCTCAGGCAAATTGCTCAAAACTTTAGTACTCCTTGTTAACTGTATGTCCAGGCAGTAAAAATTTGTGAAGAACTATTCCAGTGTAGTTGAAGAAAACGGTTAGAAGGACTTTCACATTTGACCAGATCTTGTTTCATGTTCGATGTCTCCTCGGCCTTCCTGAAAACATTTGTACCTTTGATAAACTCTTGGCTGTGATATAGTATTGTCAAAGGCTTTCTTTAACATTTTGAATGCTCACTGCTCTTAAAATATCAAACAAACTCTGATCCGAAATATTGACAGGTACATCACTAATAGTACTACCAATACACAAAAAAAGAATCAGCTCAACAATGCAACACGTGCAATTTGGAAATTTCCGTTACTTTTTGATCAAACCTCTTATACGGACAATCTTTTGATTGCTTAGCAACACCTAGCTAATAAATCATAGTGATTTATCTGCAGACTCAAACTGTGATGTGTGGATAGAGAATCATGGACACAGATATTTGGACACGTGGTTTACTGCACAATTAAGTGGTTACGTTGCGTGTGAAGCTGGCATAACAATAACCTTTAACACATTACACTTATGGCACATTATTTTGATTGCGAAGGCAAAATAGACAAACCCATCAAATATATAGATAATTTCACCAAGTAAGGTGCCACCCACTTTTTGAAGGCTGGGTACATCAATGGCACCCATGCATCCAATCAGTCTGTTTTAAGTCTTTTAACACCTATTTATGACATGTTCTAATAGCCATCCATGTCTTCCTGACAGACCCTTCAAATCCTGTTATCATTGTAATTTTGATTCATTTCCTTAAGAAAAACAGATTTGGGCATTTATCTATTAATTTGTTTATTCTATTCGCGATGCATACAGGATATTAATTTCTCTGCTACAGTTGATTTGTGTTTTTACAATAAATTTTATGGACATGTATCATTTGAACAGTAAGAGTAACGATAATAAAATAAAGTGCTGAAAAGAGCCAAAGGAAATAGTTTAAATGAAATGATAAATAAGACAATGTAAGGGAAAGCATAAAAATATTTTACAAAACAACAAACAATATATTTTTTATATACCTATCTTTTTTTTTTAAGTAAATATTTTTGTAAGAAAATACTCTTAAATTGTAACCAGGAAAATGCTTCATTTTTGACACGTATTACTCTAATTCCAATTCAAGTAAACATACCTTTACAAATTGTTAATTTGCTCAAAAAACAGTAAAAGCTATGCACAAAAGTCTGAATATCATTTTTATTTCCAGTAACATAAATGTTGAACAACATGTGATCCACTGGTTTGAAGCGAGTCTTAATTTTCTCACGCTGTATGCCATTTTTGTCCATGTATATATAATTTCATTCACTCGCAGGTTATTTAATGATATTCTTACATTTGATTGAAAAATCCTTTATTTTTGGTACCTTGTCTTGTGACACTATAATTAATTTAAAAAAGGGATACATTTATGAAATAAAAGACAAAATAAATATTTTCAAATAAAAATTATTAAAACAAGTCAGTACTTTTAGCAAACCTGTTTTTTTACTCCCAATATACGATTTAGATCTTCCCAGAAACTATTTTTTTTTCTTTCTAAAAAAACGTATTGGATACATAAAAAATTTTGAAAATCATTGTGGAATACCTGTAAAGGCCTCGATTTGCAAAATAAAATTAGCTATTAGCTCTTGGAACTTTAATTGTACAGGGTGGTTGATTTTCGATAGTTTTATAAGGTAAAGCCAAAACGGTGATAGATACAAAAAATCTGATATTGATGTCCCGTCTTCTTCTTTTGAGTTTACTTCGCTGGTACCAAAAGATCTTGGCTAACTTGATTAGTTTTAGATATACAGGGTTTTTTTGAAAAATCGCCCATTTACATTAACCTCTATCTCCGTTGTCATAAAATTTAGAAAAAAAAAGTTTCAACAGTATTTGTTCTATTTTTTATGAAGAAGCCAATGGTATACTCAGATTTTTTACAAATCGCACAGTTTTTCCGATATTCATAAACAGGTTTTTTTTAAATAGAACACCCTGTATTTGGTCATCCCGATGAATAGCATTTTTTTTACCTTTTCAGCCGTATATAATAATAGATACTTTTTATTTGCCCAAATGAAGAAAAATGTAAAAAATGTATATTTTTTCAGTTGGCCATGAGATTTATTTAGTATTTAGGTACTTCATAGGTTTTATTATGGTATAGTAACTAATAAACAAAAACTAAACAAAAATAACAACTATAAAAAAAGAGAAAGTAGATAGAAAGAGCTAGTCGCATTGTAAATATGGATATTTGACACCCGTTGAATATCTGAGTAGGTACGCCAATGGCTTCCTCATAAAAAATTGAACACATAACTTTTTTCTTCTAAATTTAATGACAACGGAGATAGAGAGGTAAATATAAATGGGAGATTCTTCAAAAAAACCCTGTATATCTAAAACTAATCAAGTTAGCCAAGATCTTTTAGTACCAGCGAAGTAAACTCAAAAGAAGAGTACGGAACATCGATATCAGATTTTTTGTACCTATCACCGTTTTGGCTGTGCCCTATAAAACTACCAAAAATCGGCCACCCTGTACATCTTCATATTAAATGTCCTTGATCCTCTATCAGTACTCGTATGTAACAACAAAATTCCATTGGAATTGAGAAAAATCTATTGTTTTTCTAAATGTAAGATTAGGAAAAAAATATAAACAATCTGAAGAACATCGCGCAGCTCTCTAGCCAGTAGACTAATACAATAATTATTTGTTAGGTACATTAATTCCCTTGTGCAAACATTTTTGTTATTCATAACCATTTATTTGTATTATCTATAAAATTTGTGTCGACAAAGTTATAGATGAAATAATAAATTTAGCAAAATTTACATAACGATTATACCATGTTATTGGTTATAAATGTTACAACATAACTTTTTTGTTTTTAATTAAAATAAAAGAAAATCATGAATATGAAAGTTGTAGCGAACACTATACATTTTTTATGATGGTATTGAATTTTGTACAGGATGTTTTTTAAAGGTGTGGCATTTCAAACTTAAAGAAAAAAAGAACACACTGTATATCATATCTACAAAGAATACTGTGAGGCTTTATGGGCCTTCCTGTAATAATAAGGTAAAGAACATGCCGTAAAAGTCATGTGTTAAAAAAAGAAAAATGTAACACCAATTCTAATAGACCTTAAATTATACGAGTAGTAATCCTGAAAAAATATTCTATTCGATTTAGCATAATGTGGGTGCTTTATATTAAAAATCGCAAGTTTAATTGTTGGGTTAACATTTATTACCAACAACTTGAGGAGTATAGGGGCAGTAAAAACACAATCAAACTTGTAGTAAATTTAAAACGTGTTTTTTAGAGAAATTTTGTGTCGACATACTACATACCACATTTTATCCATCCAGTTAATATATTTTTTAAAATTGTTTTGTTTTTATTAATTTTTCCTGTCGATAATTCGAAAGATATAATTCTCCCATCACTAAAAGCATAATGGAGGGAGTGTACTTATAAAAGATAAAATCGAAGTCTTGCTTATTATAACTAAACATATACAAGTCTATTGTTTTGTTCTGTTTTGTGTGCTGTTGAAGCTTTTCTGTAACAAAAATGAGTCCTGGTATAGTGTTTGAGCCTAAGGTAAAAAAATTAAAAGTTGCAGTATGTGTTACGGATAATTTAAACAAATGGTTTATTATTTTTTTTAAATAGTCAAGTATTAGAATATTATTAAACTTAATTTTTGATTACACGGGGAGCATTGAAAATTTATATGAATGTCATTTGCGATTTTTTTGCAAATTATGTATAAAAGTAGATAAATTTTAATTTTCATATTTATATTTGTAATAATTTTTTTTTAAATTTATGGTTTACTATATTTATATTCTTTGTTATTTCAGGAATCTCCTACTGTGGACCTGAACAACCTGTCCGAGCTGTTGAAGACAAAAAACATCTCGGCTTCAAAATTGACATTTGGTTTCATTGGTGTAGGGAATATTGGTACAGGAATTGTGAAGAATCTTATCAACTCTGGCCATACTGTAAACCTGTATAGTAGAACGCTGAAAAGGGTATGTTTTTTTTTATCTACAATTATAGCATTATAAAAATAATTATCAAACACCAAATGAGTAAAAGATATATTTTTAAGATTAACTTATTTGCCTTGAAACATTTGTTTTAAACCATTACCATAAGCGTTCTGTGTTTTTCCTTGGTGTAAATATTTTCTATTAGTTTATGTCATCGTTATCTATTTCATGGAAAAACTTTATATTATTTTTTTTTAATGAATATGTGAAATTAATGAAAAGTAACAAATTCATAATTAAACAGTTTCTAATAGCAGTTTATAAGATGGAAAAATTTTTTCAAAACCCAAGAAATGCAAAAACAATTATGAATATTAAACTATTTATTTATTTAATAATTCTTAATACTCAAGAGTATTTACGCATTTCACAAGAAAACAGGAAGCACATTTAAAGTTCATTATTATACATAATAAATATAATATATTTATTTTTGATTGCCTGGCTTAAAGAGATTGCTCAGAATGTAACGAGAACATAATATCGAACAGAAATTGTAATTACCTGCCTTGTTACTCATTAATTTTGGATTCCCTTTGAGCTTATTCTTCTTTACCTGTCTCGTGACTTGAATAAATCAAAATTTTTGTATTATAAACGCCGTGTCACACCATAAAATTTTATTGTGGCTAATAATATAAAAAGTCATCAATCTAAGATGCTGCGAATTAACATCACAACTAAAACATTTTTTTAATTCTTTTCTATACAAAACTAATTCAAATTGGTGAGATATAACCTACACAGCATATGTCATATATCATATATTTAAATGTCATTGTTACTTTATGTCTACTAGCACATGTACTTACTGACACAAAGTGACCTACTAATCTGTAGGTGGTATGAACGCATGACTAGTACCGCATTAGGTTGACTAAACTTTTTAACTAAAGAAACATGCTTTTTATATGAAAATAAAGGCATATTATTATAATCATTATTATTATTATTATTATTGTGGGTTATAAATGACCAATACTCGAAACATGTCTGTAGATAGACATCTAAATTGCTAAATAGTTTGTTGGTTCTTTCACCTATGGCATTCTGTGAACTCATGATTTCGAAACTGGTCTACATCTGGTGGCTCTGCTGATAAACGATTTTAGATATTTACCAGATATTGCGGGTGTAATTCAATGCCAGCTGGGGCATATAACCTGTGGAGAGAAAACATTTGGTCCAAGGGTTTATGTAATTATTTTTTTATTTCCTCTAACGTGGCAAAATGCCTAAATAATTTGAAAAACTGAAACTATACACAAATACTTAACTAATTTCAGTAAATTTGATTGTCTAAGAAATATACAAAAAATAGCTATTCTCTCAATACTTTACTCCGATGGTGGAGTTATTTTTTTTGTATGAGTTTTGGACTTTATACAGGGTGTTTAATAAATCCGTGACAAGTTTGAACTTATGATTTTAAAAAAGGGATATTTGTATGTTTTTACATTAAATGAGAATGATTTCTCGAGATTACAATGATATATAGCCTGAGGGATCTAAGTAACTTGAACTGTAATGTAAGGGTATTACAGTAAGTGATTATTACTATTGGCTGGGAAATTAATAGAAAATTTAGGTTGATAATAATTTTTAAACACCATGTATAAAATTTGAAATTGTAAAAAAACTTTTGTTGAGCCTAAAAACATTTCAAAAGCATTTCGTTTGTATTTAGTTTTTTCAACATACAAAATATGCAAAAAAATGTATGAGAAATATAATTTTTTAAATTTTAATTAGATAAAAAGTTTAAGGTTTTACAGGTGAGGATTTCTTGTCAATTTTCAATTTTCTCCACTCTTAGTAGTCTTGCATTTGTTTGATTTGTTGAATACAAAAAATATTTATATTTTTTCTTTTATTTGCCACACTAAATTAAAAAATAAAAAAACGCTCGAAATCATTTTAGGTACACTACTTTTAAAGTTAAAACAATCATGAGTGACCTTTAGAAATTAAAATATCGATTTGAAATTTTCAGAATCGAGGTTTTTTTCAACCAGAAAATAACGAGAAAAAATTTAAAAAAAAATCCATATTTGACGATTTTGGAAATTTTTAAAAATTTTGAGCGACCTCTAAAAAAAAATTTGTTTTGAGCTGATTTTTTGAGGGGGCTCTTAAAACATAATAAACCAACATATTTTAACAAGAAACGCGAAAAAAAAATTCGTTTTTTTTTTGGGCCACCCTAAGCTCCATGTTAGTAAAATAAATAAATTTACAGGGTGCTAAATTATTAAAAAAATGATTTTTTGTCTATTTTCATTTTTTGCCACTCTTGTAGTCTTGCATTTGTTTCATTTGTTGAATACAAAATTTGTTTCTTTTATTTGTCACACTAAATTAAAAAATAAAAAAATAATAATCTTACAGCTCCATGTGTAAAATTAATAAATTTACAGGGTGCTAAATTATTTAAAAAAAACTATTTAAGAAACGCAAGAAATAAATACATACTTTCTTTCAAAAATATTTATAAGGATTGTTTCAACGCTTTCTCCCGCGAATTAAGTAAACAATAAAAGGTATGTGAACAGCAATTTTCCACAACAGAGCAATATTTTCTTTTACAGATACAATAACATTATCCTTCTCTAACTCTAACATTATTATTTGTCCCTAAAAATTGTATATTTCGCAACGCAATGAAAATGCCGTTTTTTTCGTGTGCGAACCAATTGTCCACAAGCTGTCTTAAATCAAATTATTTTGACACTCATTTTCGTCTTAAGTAATGAAAGTCTCCATGTCACTTTCGCATTGACTAAGCCTAGAGAAAATCCTTTCTTTCCTACGTATCGTAATTTCTTTATTTTATTACATTTTTGTCAAAATAATGCTACTAAGAAAAATGTTCTCAAATTATTATTAAGAATATAAAGGCAACTGATAAACTATTGTTTTCACGTTCCTTAAGTAAGCTTGTTTACTGTTATTATTTGAAGATATTAATTATAAAAATATTAGTGGAATGAAAAACAAAAGAAATCCGAATCAGCAGTTAAAAACCGATAGTAAGAATTTGCAATTGTTATTTACCATTCGAAAAGGTAATATAAATTGATTTATAATTTGTAGTACAAAGAATATTGATAATTTGACTGAGATAATGTTTAGTCATACATGCATAATAAATACGCGCACTATCTTAATTGTGTTGATATGGCCACAAAACGAGAATATAGCCATGCCACAACCCGTTAATTCTCATATTAACATAGTTTTTAAAATTATAAGCTTGAAATATGTGGAACTAATTTCAATTATCCATTCAGAATGATATTTTCAATATAAACAGTTACACTAAACGCTTAAAAATTAATCTTCCTCTTAGATTTTAATAAAAATCGATATTGATATTATTTCAAAAATCTAAATAGGCGTGAAACAGTGCCGTTTTTCGTGAGGGGTCTGCCAGGAAATAAAATAAAATTTAGGAACGCCAATCCAAAAATCATTTTTTGTGAAAACATATGGCAACATATTAAAATACTTCTTTAAAAAGAAAATGTGTGACCATTTACTAAATTTGGAAGCAATTAGAGAAAATTAAATGGTAAATGTTACCTATTTGTCAGTTTCAATTTTTGACAATTTTTGATCTTCTCAACTCGAATCTGAAGCTTTTTGTGGTGCTTGGATAGGTAGTGTTAAATATAGTGTTTTAGTAAAAAGAAAATCATAAATTCGACATTTTTATCATCTTAAGAGAGACAGAGAATAAAAAATTTATTGTGAAATCGCCCTGTATTTGATGACATTATTTGATGCGTAACTTTCATTTTTTCACTTGAAATTTCCTCCTTAATACCTGCATATCTTTATTTTCGTTCTTTTCATTTCTTTATTCATAATGTGTCCAGGAATGGTGTTTTTATTTATTTACCCAACTTTTATCGCAAAAAATTTTTGTAGCAAAAGTGTATTCAGGACGATGACTTAAAATATTTAGATTTACAACGTATTTTTAATAGATATTTTATCTTCATTCAAGTTTGTTTTTAAATAATTTTTATACAGATTTATCTATAAATAATTGGAGCCATTTCCAATTAAGTCCGTTCTGGAAATTTGGTATTTAAAAAAGCTCATAATAAAATAAATATTATTAGTTATAATAATAAACGTCTGTTTTAAAATAAGTTCACAAAAATATCGAGGAAAAACATACATTTCAAAAATAATGTACAAATGTAAAGACATAATTCTACACAATATGCGCATATAATTAATAAAATGTAATTATGGCAAAGATTACTTTTTTATTTATGATTAATGTTATTGAAGAGGCTGAATGTATTATCACGGTTGGAAGTGTCAAAAGTATTCGACTTTAATCATTAGCCCAGTAAATAATAAAAAAAAAACGTAAAAACATTCGTTACAGATTGAAACTTATTTTAATGGCAAAAAGAAATATTTCCCAAAAAGATCGGTTTAAAACAACAAAAACGTTATTTTTTTAAATATAATATGTAATTTAATGTTAAAAAATAATACTGTTATGCATATTACATCCAAAAACTCGATTCTCATTAAAATAAACTTTATACATTAAAAATATGTAATTTCCTGAATTTTTTTACATAAAAATTTTGTTTTTTAAGAAAATTGTTTATTGGTACCATTGTGAATAATTATTTCTCGAAAAAATGCGAAAAAAAATTTTTTTTACAAATAGTTTATAACAAATTAATAATTAATTATTGCAAAATGGACCGTGCAGTTATTATTTTCATGCGTTACCTCAAATTAAAAAAAAAAAAACGTTAAAATTGGTTCACAATTACCGGAGATATCGCAAAATTTTCGGGCAGTTAAGATTTGAAGTTTCGATTTCCACTTTTGAACGTTTGTATTTCCCCCACCACATTCCAAGTGTAAAAATGTATTCGAGGACGTTTTTTACAGTTAAAAATTACTATAAAATACATTTTTTCGACATCTTTAACCGTTATTATGAA